TTTTTTAATCTACTTTTTTGGTCTTGGTAATTCCCAGAAGTATACAAAATTCAAAAAGAAACAGAAGATAAATGCATGCTTTTTGCTCTCTTCCACAGAGCATTAATAGCTTTTGGAATTGAAATTGTTTTATTAATTTGATTAGGTTGAAGGAAAATCCAAGGCTTTTATGAATAATTCAAGTTTGTGTCAGATCCTAGAAAGCTTTATGGAAAGTACTGTTATACCTCAAAAATGCCCTCACAGTAGACCATACATTTAATTTTCAATAACATTGATTTATAGTTTTATAAAGAAAAATAATAAATATAATGAATTACCTCCATATTTCCTGATCTCAGTCACTATAAAATAACTGCTGTAGTTTTACATTTCCAGTGTGAAATATTAAATGCATAAATCAAAACAAAATTATTTTTCATCTTAGAGAGAGAGACTGGTTCCTGAGACTGACAAATTCATTTTATTTTAAAATTAATGTTTAAGAAAAAAATCTTCATTGAATCTCTACCAGCTTTAAAAAGGTGGAAAAAAAAAGAGCTTGCATTTTAGTATTTCACCTATGGTATCTTCCGCAGCAGGCACTGTGTATAAAAAATTATTAAAGTCCCTAAAACTCCAAAATTATCAGGCGCCACATTATACTTCCCTACATGAATCATTTTCCTTTCCCACTTCCTTTCTCAGGGCTTTTCCTTTTTCCACAATTGTTTTACCCTAACTTGCCACCTAGAGATAAGCATCATTCACAATTCTCTAATGCCACCAGCCTGGCATGTTTGTGATTCACATATTTCCTTACAGCCACTACTAAGCCATCATGTAATGCGAAGAACGTTATCAAATAAGAACAATTCAAGAGAAAGGCAGATTTTCCAACAGTGAGAAACAGATGCATTTACTTTGACATTTTCTCAACTTCATCCCCTAAATTTCATTGAGAACAAGACACAGTATTTTGCATCCTTGATTAAAAAGAGTAAATCTAATTAAAAGAATTCATTTTCACATTTAAATACCTCTCAGCTTTTGTGAGTGTTCAACATTCAACCACAAGAAGCGTTCAGAAGGAGTGATGAAGGCGGAATACTAAAGAGTGCCAAATCCTTGAATAAATGGGCAACTCTGAGGTAATAGGCCAAGAAGAAAAATTAAATCACCTAAGGACCATGATATTGGAAACCTGGAAACAACATAAGTGAAATATTGTCTCCAAGGCTCGGTTTACATGCTAAGAACAGAGGCATTGAATCACCTTTGTTGTTTTTTAAGTTTATCTATGGACTTGCAAGATTCCTAAAACCATCATATACATTTTTTTTGGTCAATTATGAATACAGTTCACTCATTGATTATAAAATCACGTAAGCTTATAGACAAATGTTCTCGTTTTAAAGAAATTCTCTTTGTCTTGTGGCTAAATACAAAATAACTCCTATTAGAAGAGAATTAATGTAGAATGAGACAAGGAATCGATACCTTTATTTTAATCTTTACAATAACTCAGTGTAGCTTTAATGTGGTGTGTTTTCTGGGGAAGTTTCATAAAGAATCTCTGGAGTCTTGAAATAACTGTCTGGCAAAGATCTGAACAAGCCTCTCTAAAAATAACAATGGGCTGTGGACTTCATAAACATTTTTAGAAATTAAATAGCTGCTAACTTGTTCCATATGGAAGCAAATTCACAGAGTCCAACATGTTGCTCATTGAGATCATCAGAACACATATACCAAAGGAAGAGGCAAAGTTGTCCAGCCATTCATGAAAAGCCAGCGGAAACAGATGATCCCAAAACCTCTTTAAAAAAAATCAAAAATGAAAAGCAAAGGGCTCTAAAAACCACATGATCCTCTTGCCCTCAGACTCCCTAGGGTTTCTTAGGTCAGGCAACCTTTGAAGACCTCCAGATCATTATTATCACTCATTAAATAAAGGCACTAACAAAATTGCTAAAAATTTTGCGCAACAGTCCTAAGAGCTAAACCATAAATGAATTTAAATGTCTTTCTTCTGACAGGAAGGATAATCTCTCAAATGTATACTTCCATAACATACTGAGTTCATGAGGAAGCCTAGAGATTTAGAGATGCTGATGAATCCGCCGTATGCCTAGAGTTCTTCAGGAGGCTCCCTTTGTCCTTGGACTCAGAATTCTAAGTAGTCCCGAGTAATCTTCTCAAATCCTGTTGCTTTTGGTTTGTTTGCTTTTTATACTAAAACCCACTGAACTATACATTTATTTATATATTTTTTAAGATTTTATTTATTTCTTAGAGAGAGAGTGAGCACTCAAGCAGGGGGAGGGGCAGAGGGAGAGGGAGAAGCAGGCTCCACACTGAGCAAGGAGCCCAACACCGGGCTCCATCATGACCTGAGCTGAAGGCAGACGCTGAACCAACTGAGCCACCCAGCACCCCCCGCCCCTTGTTTTTGTTTTTGTTTATTGCTCTTCGTTTTGTTGTTTTGTATGCTCCTCTTACAGTAAAAGAGAATGAGGAGGCAAAAGATGGCCAGCACACTCTCCCATCTGCTGGTCTGTTTACTAGTGTTTCAGCATCAGCTCATGTATGCCGAGGGTTTATTTGCCCCAGCATTATGTGAGTAAATTGGGAAAATTGGTTTCCTCTGGTAAAAAACACTTACACTTCAAAGTATTTTCCCTACATTCGTACTCCTAATTTTCCCTTTTTGATCTTTACATCTGTTGTCGTACAGATCCAAAAGCCCCAGGATCCTGACTTCCCCTCCAACCATCCCAAACACATGGTTAGTATTTAACATCCAGAACTTCATTTTCGTGTTTTTTTTTTTTTACTACTTATAATTTGGAATGAAACTATCACACAGAATGAAATTCAAAGAGAAGATAATATCAAATATGTCTTTAAGACTAAATTTATTCAGGGTTTTATATTCAAATCAAATTGGTTTTTCTATATAAAAGAGGGGTTAAATTTCTGGGGCTGTTGCCTTGGAGAAAAGTAATAGGAAAAATCTATAGGAAAGAAATTTAGGAAGTCTGGTGCAGCTGATTGCATTCACACTGGGGAAACACAGCAGGGCTGTGATATTATTACCTATATGATCGCTATAGAATATTTGTTCCTGGATACCAGCAAGAGGATAGGAAATACATCTGAAGAGAAGGGATAAGATAACTATGTAAACCTTTGTTACAAAGATTAAATTACTCAGAATTAAAATTTGCTATGAGTTAATGTTTAGATGTTTAGCTCAGCAACAAAAACCTTACATTAAACTATTTTCATCTAATAGTATGGAAATCAAGCAGTTGGTCTTTTGTGGGGTGCAGGATTGAGACAGCTTCTCAATGTCTGTCTCTCAATTTCAAGACCGTTTTGTAGTAGTTGGAACCGATGACCACAACACTGTGAAAGTGTATAATTTGAAGAGAACGTTTTCTGTCTTAAAATATTTCCCAAGCAGCTACTGGCACCTGGAATTTTGTCATTAAAGGTTGGTTTTTATATCAGAGACTTGTAAAAGTGTTCACTTGGAGGAGTTGATATAGCATATATACAAATTCTTCTTGCTGTGTATTGTTTTTATTTTGAACCATGTGAATGTAGTGCTATATAGTACCTGTTAAAATAACATGTTTTAAATTAAACAAAATGACTTTCTTGAAACTATGAAAGTCCTCTGGACATTCCATTTGAAATGTAAATGCTTCTGGGGAAAAAAGGGACATGTTTGCAAGAATTTGCTCATAGTCAGCTGGGAATGAGAGGAATTCTTGACTCAGAATGATCCTTCCCCATCTTTGAATCCTTCACTTGCTTGCAGAGCCTGCCCAGCCAGCCAGATGCATGGGAGCAACCCTGACTATCTGTACTTAAGAGCATGGATGTCATAAACAGCACAGGTTTGAAGGTGAAATAAGAAGGGATTGGTAGTAGGCAAAAAAAAGACAACAAAGGGGTCACTACATGGGGAGGTAGAAAGGAAGCCATGGTCTACTCTACTACCTGCGGCTGGCTCCATCTGGGTCCTCCTCGTGAGTGTAGATACTATAGGTACACACACACACACACACACACACACACCCCACGTAGAGTGCTGTAGAAGCTAGTGGAGAACCAAAGTCACTTCCAGGCAGAAAAGTATGGTCTATTTTTAGTACCTTTTGGTCTCTTTCATAAGCAGTCCTCCCTTGCTAAGTGTTCACTGATCCCATCATGACCTAGCTGCCTTCTTCCCCATCGAAGCATGTTCAAAACAGGTCTTAGAACAAGAGAAGAATAAATACGTTAATATGTAGGTCTCTGAGTCTTCATGAGTTATGCTAGCTCCCCAAATCACAGTGGCTTAACAAAATAAATGTTTACTCGTTGCTCATTTCAGTCCAAAAAAGTTGGGGAACTTCCCTAGGCAGGCCTCCTCTGAGTAGTGGCTGTGGGATAAAGGTTCCTTCCATTGTTGTTATGCTACCATCCTCCATTTTCCCCAAGGAAAGGAAAGAGAGAACATGGGCAATGATACAGGAGGTTTTACTGCCAGCGCTGGAAGCCGCACACATCGTATTTGCCCACATTCTGTGGCCCCTAAATAATCTCAGGGGAGATTAAAAATGTCTTTTTCTTTTGTGCTTAGGAGAACAAAACAAGATTGATGAACATCCAATCAGTCTGTTACACAGGTTCCCATTCTGGTAATTGAATACCCATTTCAGTGTTCCTCCCCCAGTATCTTCTGGTCACTGCATGAAGCACAGAATCCTGCATCTCTGGGCAAGCACAGCCCTTTCCCCAAGGCTGGATGTGACTAGTCTAGTTGCTGCTGTATATGAACCAAGAAGATAAGTTATCAGTTCCTGATAAGGCACGGCCCCCTACTCTGATGGAACAGGGGCAGGGTAACTGCAATATATACTCCTTTAGAAAAAAGGAGAACAGGAATCAGAGAGTCGTCCCCAGTGGTCGTTTTGAGTCCCAAAGTTCTGCTAAAAAGATGGGGCAATCCCTTCATTTGCCTTTGGTTCTCTTCACTGGGAGGACTTCTTTGTCAGTTGATCTCCACAGCCCCCAAGTCCATCTTCTGGGAAACCCGTTCTTCCCCCTTGTCCTCCTTGGCGACATCTAATGGAGCTGTTCCCCAGTGAGGCCTCTTGAAGCCCTGCCTGCTATTCATGGAAGGCGGAAATCTGCCTTAATGTATCCCCTGAAAACGAGACCCTTGCTCAAGGATGTAGGTACAGGTACTTTATCCGAGAGGGGACCTCAAGCAGCACAGTAGACGAGTGGAATAGTCAGACGCGGAAGGAAGGAAAGTTGGTAAAGGGAGCATTTATGAGCAGGTGGCCACCGGAGAGACTTTTGTAGAGAAACTGGAGCTAAAAATCTCTAGGGACCCTAGAGAGAGACTGTGGAACGTGATTTCCACGAGAGGTGCAGAAACTCTCTCTCTCGCCCATCCTTGATTTAGGGTCATTCCTAGGGCATTAATTCCAAGAAGTCCTGCAGGCAGCAAAGTCCCCCAGAGCAGAGAGACAGAGGCACAGGATGTGTGTCGCGGGAGAGGCCGAGGAAGTAGGCTTGGTGCAATGACAGCATCTGCTTGCGACCGGTCCCAAGAGTTCCTTAAAATTCAGCAAAGGAATTTTTTAGTATAGGTAGATTCATTGTTTCTCTGGCAATACAATTCCCTCAACAACTTAATAGGCTTCCAATACATTTGCCATGAACAGGTAAATTTTAACTTTCTTTCTGAAATACAGTTCCTCAATGGGCTTTGCTGCTTTGCTTCCTCACCCCCGTGCCTCTCTCCTCCAAATGAATGATGGCTATCTTGAGGCCCTCTGCCACCAGAAGGGTGAGGTCAGCTTCCTTAGCAGTGAACCACCAGCTACGGTTAGCTGATAGCTGAGGGAGGCAGACACTTCATCTGACCTGTGCCCTGAATTACTAAATTCAGCTAACAATTTTTTAAACCCAGTTTTTCCCCGTTTAGCATTTAGAAGCAACCTTTCCAACCAAACATTTGTGGACCCCATCTAATCCCTTTCATTGATGCTTGCCCACCAGACAGTTCTCTCCCAAGCCCATCTCCTTTTGTAGTAACTTGGAAACCACAGCCTAATGTAGCCAGCCTACGCTCACGCTCTGATTCATTTCAACCATCCCCCCCAGAGTTGCAGGCTGAGCATGGACTCGTTCTGACCTCCAGTTCATTGACAGTTGTATAAATATTTTGCCACTGTGTCACTGGACAGACTTCTTTCACTACTTACCTATCAATAGTTCAGTCAATGCCTAGTTTAGCCTTTTAATGGCAGTACTTCACTTCTAATATAAATGTCTCTATTTAGGATAAACGAACATAGCTGCTATACCAAACAAACTCAAAATCCCCAAGGCTTCACAACGAAAAGTGTATGTGTCATCTGTGTGCAGTCTGATGTGAGTGGGAAGCTCCCTAGGGTGAGGCGTCAGGGGTTGTGGCTGCCTCTGTTTTCCAATGGCTCCATCTTCAATATAACCTTCTCCATCACCAAGGTAGGAAAGAGATGTTGGGAGATGGAGTAGGGTATTTTAGGCCCGGGCCTGGAAGTGATCAGCATCCCTCCCACTGACATTTCTTTGGTCCAAACCTAACTGCCAGGAAGGTTGGGCGTGTAGGTTGACAGTACCCAGAAATGGGGGTTCGTCGAGCTACACTCCAGTACAACAAAGCAGGACTAACCTTAAAACAAAGAAATAGCTTCTAAAATCATTAAACAAAAAAATTTATATTGATTATAGACCAGGTTCGGAGGATAAGGGATTCCCTGATATCCTTTCAATCACCCCACAGCCATTTGGTTTCTCATTCAATATTGAAGTCTGTTCCTGTATAAACTATCTCTAGTCTCATGGGAAGTAAATAATCAAGAGGAATTGAGCACAGATGCTCACTTATTTGGGTGACCTATCTTAAAGTGACGGCATATGTAGTTTTTTTTTCTGCTAATCTCCTAAAATGTGGAAACACTGCCAATCTCCCTTAAAAACAGACACGGATACAAGAATTTCTGTTTTTACTTTCCTAGAGGTATCTTACTCAACTGGCTTTAGTATTAAAAACGTTGGAAAGCAAAGTAGCCACATGTTACATCACCTTTTCCCACTTCCCTTTCTTCCGAAAAAACACGTTAGTCCTTTGGTGTCATTCTGTATGAAAAACTACGCCAGATAAGAAAAAATGATAGAACATGCAGCCCAAATAAGCCCAGGGCCCAGCCATGGATTTAAGAATCACATAATAGGTGCATTTAACTTAAATGAATGTGAGTATCCACACTCAGGGTTCAGTTTTAAATACTACAGAATGCTGTAAAATCACGTTTTGCGTTTGTACTGTTTTTATGTACTATTTACTTGCCGTAGGTTATAAATACACTATATAGGGGGGACATGCACAAAACCATCTATATTATACTTCATGAGGAGTAGAAGGGCTTTTTAAGGGGCATTTTGACTGTAATTTTAACAAGTGTGGGCTTTTGAATCTAATACCCTAGTAAAATACAATACCATAGCCATCTGTTTACGGACACGACTGGCCTCCTGACTCGGCCTCCCCATACTCTGACCTTGTTACCTCTTTGCCACTTCATCTTCTGGCCTGATCCTGGGCCCATCTCCAGCTTAGAAGGAGACATCACATTGGGGACAATCCTTTGCTTTGGTAGCCGAGTTTGGCATTTCGTAAAACAACATGCCAGTAAAGACTTTGAACTTTGTCACACGTTCTCTAGGCCAGTCGTTCCCTACAGAAGGACGAAGTGTTGTCTAAAGCAGAGGTGTTGGGAAGCCCCGGTGGCTCAGCGGTTTAGCACTGCCTGCAGCCCAGGACGTGATCCTGGAGACCTGGGATCGAGTCCCGCGTTGGGCTCCCTGCGTGGTGCCTGCTTCTCCCTCTGCCTCTCTCTCTAGCTGTGTCTCTATGAATAAATAAAATCTTTTAAAAAAATAAAAAATAAAAATAAAGCAGAGATGTTGGCGGCGTGCACGTGGGGCAGAGCCTTGGGACTCAGAGCAATCATGGAGATCAGGTCAGGCCACTGCTGATCGAAGAGAATCCCCTCGCTGGCCACAGCCACAGGCCCTCTTCAGCTGGCCAGCTCTTGTACAGCTTTGGTCTCTCCCATCCTTTTTGAGGCCCTCAAGATGTCTGACCATAAAACTTCCTTTGCAAGAAGCAAGCAAGAATGCGCTTGACCACCATTTTTCAGCTCCCAGTTCCAGCTTTACCGAGGCATGTCAGGCTTAATTCCTTTTGAATCAAGAAACACTCATGATTTTAATAAAAACAATAGCTCCCACTTTCCCAAGTGCTTCCTATGTGCCAGATACTTGACTAAGAGCTTCATGTATATCAACTCACCTAATTGTCACAACAGTCCTGTGAGGTAAGCACTGTTAGTGTCTCCATCTCATGGATGAGGACATCAAGGAGAAAGGAGTTCAGTCATTTGCCCAAGGACACCGTGTCCCTAATCGTGGTTCTAGTTTTATCCTCTTGTTTGTAGTAGCCCTGAGATTGCTGTCAGCTATAACAAAAATAGAAGGAAATTAGCATTTTACCTGAAAAAAAAAAAACAAAACACCTCCCTTTCAAGATTGATGCCTTCTAGATTTTTAGACCTGAGTAAGTTCTAGGATGTTTTCACATTGATTAACTGAGGATGATCACTTAGTTCAGCATTATTATTTCAAAAATTACTTACAGCTATTTACTCTGGCAGAAAATCAGTAGGAGTTGTCATTATTTAAATCTTGTTGCTGAGGCACTACGCTCATGGAGCTATTTCCTGAGTGGGTGCTCAATGAGGAAAGACAGATATTCAATCACCTGGACCCCAGAAAACAGAAGTGAAAAATGCAAAGTTGTGTAAGACGAGGTCACAATAGATAAGCAATTAGCTTTGGACATCTGTCCCTTGAATTGGGCTGTGTCTGTACAACAGCAAAAGAAATTCTGTTAATTTATTTGCTCGTTCGAATCAGTCAAAAATTGAAAAAGTATAAAATCATAGACAAATTATTTAGTAGCCCATATGTATAATAATATAGAGAGATGTGCGTGTAAACATGTTTATTTACAAGACTTTGTAACTATTTGGGTGTTTGAGGAATTGAAGAAACTTTGAATATAATTGCAACAGGAGGTTTCATGTGGGGACGCCTGGGTGGCTCAGGGGTTGAGCATCTGCCTTCGGCCCAGGGCGTGATCCGGGGTCCTGGGATCGAGTCCCACAGGGAATCTGCTTCTCCCTCTGCCTGTGCCTCTGCCTCTCTCTCTGTGTCTCTCATTAATAAATAAATAAAATATTAAAAAAAAAGAATGGAGGTCTCCTGTGTTATTGTTTCATGTGTGGGTGCTTTCATTCATACCATTTGGTAGTAGAAGCACCTCACAGAGGAGAAACTTTGTAAAAAAAAAAAATGAAAAAAATGTCCAGCTATGGAGAAAGTAAAATAAAAACAGCACAAGGACAGTGAACTCACTTTAAGCTGTTACTATTCAGGAGGCAATTACCAGAGTGTGCTGTATTTAGGCTCCTGGGTGCTTCTTCCTGTGGCCTGCCCTGGGGACAATACTTGAACTCCCACCAACAGGGTTCAAAGACAGGGGACAGTAGGCGGTTAGCCACATGAGATAACCTGGAAGATACGGGAGGTATGTTTGTATCAAGATATCTGCCCTCCCTCTCACCCACACCCTCCCCATCAGGAGATTTCCACTTGCCTTTTTTTTTTTTTTTTTTGCCAAAGTCATGTCTGAAGATGGACTTTATTAAGCCAAATGCATTAACTGTGAGACATTAAATCTTAACTCAGCGGTAGTCACTTACATAGGGACCCAGCATTTCCTTAGCAGACCAGGAATGTTTCCTGAAGGAATGCGACACTAGGCGGGTCTGTTTGTTAGGGAAGGGAGGGGACAAGGAAGAGAGGAAGTACTGGGAACCATCCGGAACATGCATGCGGTGCTGAGCTTGAGCATTGCCAAGGGCGAGGACTGGCCACCAGAAGGGTGCCACGTAAGTCACCCACGAGGAGGGAGAGGGGGTTTGCTGCTGTCTGCCAGATAATAGACGAAGAAAGGAAGAAACATGGAAAACATATACAGTTGGTGAAACTCTTTCAAAAGTTTTACTGGGAAAGGGATCAGACTATGATTAAAAAGACTAAGGTTCATTTATCTTCAGGTCACCCACATTTTCATCTCTGTGAATGTATTCGTTTCTTTGGGCTGCCATAACAAATTACCACGAACCAGGTAGGTTAAAACAACAGAAATGTATTCTCTCACAGTTCTGGAGGCTGGAAATCCGAAAGCAAGAGGCCCGTGGGACCAGCTCTGTCGAAGGCTCTAGAGGAGAATCTGTTTCACGCCTTTCTCTTTTGGTGTTTGCCTTCACTGGATTGGGGCCCACCCTAATTGAGCATGACCTCATCTTAAGTTAATTATATCTTTAAAGACCTTATTGGCATGTAAGTTCTTTTTTAAAAAAAAGATTTTATTTATTTACTCATAAGAGATGCAGAGACACAGGCAGAGGGAGAAGCAGGCTCCCTGTGAGGAACCTGACATGGGACTCGATCCCAGGACCCCGGGGTCACGCCCTGAGCCGAAGGCAGACACTCAACCACTGAGCCACCCTTGCGTCCCGGCATATAAGTACATATTCATAGGTACCCAGAGGTAGGACTTCAACACATCTTTTGGGGGGGGGGGACAATTAAACTCACAACAATGGTATTTTCCCAAAAAGCAACAATATTTAAGTGTCGGCTATCATTCTTCCCAAGTTCAGATGGGATCACTCACCCGAGGAGCAATGGCCCCTTCACTGGAGGAGGAAAACTCTATCACGGTCATTATGAGCCCCTAGAAATTTAAGACCATATTTGTATTATGTTCTTCCATTTGGAGCCATACTGGTGTCAGCACTTCCATAAAGTTTTCAGAGTTTCACCCTTGGCACTAATCCAACACATGAGCACAACAGGAAGGTGTTGGCACAGAAGCATAAAGGACCATTGTTAGGATGAGGAGTGGCGGCCCAGGAATAAGGAAGAAAGAAAAGAACTAATCTCAGAGGCAAAGTAAATTGCACACTAAATCAGTGATATCCATAATACCAAACAAAAGGAGGCTTAAAAGACAGACAGGTTCTTGTATTTTAAAAAAAGAAAGAAAGATAGGTTTTGAGTAGGCTGACAGCCCGGGATGACAACTGGATATAATTAACATGTAAAGATAGTTTTGATTCTGTGATTTTTCCCATTTTTAATGTTTACTAGACACATACCCAGGTTCCAAATAAGGCAAAGAAACTAATTAATAAATCAGTCATTGAATAAGTGAAGCTCGAGTTATCTATGGCATCCATTGAAAATGGGCCCGCTTAGCTGGAGAAGATCATGCTAAGTGTGATGAGTCAGTCGGAGAAAGACAAATAACGTATGATTTCAGGCATGTGTGGAATTTACGAAAACAAGCAGAGGGGGAAAAAATAAAAGAGAAATCAAGAAACAGACTCTTAATTATAAACAAACTGATGGTGACCGGAGGGGAGGATGGTGGAGGGATGGGTGAAACAGGTGATGGAGATTGAGGAGGGCACGTGTGGTGATGAGCACGGGGTGATGTACTGAAGTGTTGAATCACTTGTACATTTGAAACTAATATGACACTGTATGTTAGCTAACTGGAATTAAAATAAAAACTTAAAAAAAAAGAGAGAGAGAAGAAAATAGGCCAACGTTGATATACCCACACGTCCACACTGAGCACCATCATCTAAGACACATCAGTCCACTTAGTGCCACTTAATACTAAAAATGTCCAGCCATTAAGAGTGGAAGTTTCGGAACACCACGCTTCAGTGAAATGGAGGTACTCCTAAAACCAGAATTATTAACAATGCAGTTTCATCACACCTAAATTAGGAAACCTGGAAAACTTTAAAGGTCTTAAGGGTAAGAGTGGTCTCTCAGCTGTTTAAAATTGGATAGGAAAAAAACTTTTAAGATCTGAGTCTATGCATTAAATGATAATATTGTAAGAACTTAGGCTGACCCAGCCCCCAACTTTCAATATAGTTGGCCCTTATAATTTTTTATTTATGAATTCATTCCTGCTAAGGCCAGTGAGCATTAAGTCCCGAGCTGCTTTCTCTGGCTTCCTTGCCAAAAGACAAAACTTGAAGTACCAGTTATTTGCCACATACTGTTGTATAAGCCGCTGATTCAAAATCAAACACAGCAGAAAGTGTCCTTACTCTGTGGAGATCACAGACTAGTGGGCGCCCCAGGTGTCCAGTTTGGTGCAAAGAGATTCGGGGGTTCTGGCTTTTTTTCCTAAATACGTAAGTATTTTAGAAGTTCGTTCTGGACTTTAACATCCTTTTATAGGCACCATAGAAATAAATGCAAAGATATTACAATGTGTTTCATAAATTATATTGGAAGTCTTGAAAGATCATCTTGTAAGGTCAAAAATTTTGACATGCTTCCATTATTTGGTACAAAGAAAAAAAATTAGTAGTGTTTAAAGTGGAAAGAGTCACAAGCCATGAGACGTGCCTTCTCCTCCTAGACCTCTTCTGTCTTCCCAAGTTCCCTCACGGGGCTTTCATTTCATCATCTGTGATATTGAGGGTTAATTCGATTCATCATTTTCAAAGACTTACTCCGATATTCCTTAGAGAAGCTTGGCCTCGTGCAAACTTTTTATCTTAAAACGTAATTTCTCAGATAAACCTGAAACTATCTTTAGGGTATGGTAAAGCAAAGAATGCAGCCAAACAACATCCTCTGCCGAATTTTAGCCCATTGGAAACTACCTACCGACATGGTAATTTGTGCATGCAGGTTAACAAATGTTTGTACAGCCCTCATAATGATCTCTGTGCATACATGTGACCTCCTTGAAATTGGATTATTGATAAAGCAGGTTGTGGCTCTGACCTGGCCTCTCAATAAAATTGTTCCTTCCCGCATGCACTTTGTGAAAAATGACTTGAGGAAGTATCTACTGGAGCACGAGCTGTCTTGCAGCCAAGACTGAGCCAGATCCTTTTGGTGTGGATGTGTGCGGTGTACATCCCGGCCACAGCCTGACAGTCAGAGTAACACGCACCCTGCGACACCATAGTGTAAGTAACCTGCACATTTTCTTCCAGTTTGTTCCCTTCCTTTTATATTCATTATAAAGAACGCAAATATGTCAGATATTGATAAGAATCCACATTTTTAGAGACAAATAACCATTGTTCCACTTCCAAGCCTCTGTGTCAGGTTATTGAGGAAAATCCTGAGATTTCAAGGTGAGCTATTAAAATCATTTGCCATTGGCACCTATGTATTGGTGTGAGTCAGAATTTTCTTTTTAATATTTTGCAAGCGATGCAAAATACAAAAATAAAGCTGAAGGTTGAGACTGCATTTATCATCTATAACCCAGAGTTCACATTTCTGTGTTCATTAAAACAGTATCATTTTTCTCATTAATTTGGCTTTATAGTAAGCAAATGTTACAAATAGGAACTTTTAATCTAATTTTTCAACAATAGCACCTCTCTCATCTCTTATACATGTAAGGGGTTTTACGTGATAATGAGTTAGAAAGAAACTATTCTTTTTTTCTCTGATTTTATTTTTAATGAAATTATTCTTTTTTAAAAAAATAGGTTTTATTTATCTGAGAGAGAGAGAGAGAATGAGTGGTAGGGAGGGGCAGAGAGAGAGAGAGAGAGAGAGAGAGAAGCAGATGCCCCGCTAAGCAGGAAGCCCGATGCGGGGCTCCATCCCAGGATCTAGAGATCATGACCTGAGCCGAAGGCAGGTGCTTCACCATCTGAGGCACCCAGGTGCCCCAAGAAATGGTTCTTTTATGAAAAACATTTTATAACTGCTCTCGTCCAGGGTTGTTGATTTTCAAGAAACAGAATCCTACTCAGGCTAGTTCTAGGTAAATAGAAACAATCATTGGACTATTAGTTTTGGAAAACACAGGCAACTTCAGTTTGCTTGCCCATAATATCTTTAGCATGGTCTTCGAAACCAGGCACTCTCTCCCACCTACCCACCTCACCGATTTCAAATGCTACCTGTCTCCTGGCTGACTCTGCTCCAACCATGCTGACTTTCTCGCTGCTCCTCAGCACCGCCTTTGTTCATGGCCTGGCATCTTTCTGTGCTCTCTCCTTAGAACTCCCTTTTTCTAGCTATCACAGTAGCCTACTTTCTCACTGCCGCCAACTGTCAAATGTCACCAAAGATACTCCAATGTTGGGACACCTGGGTGGCTCAGCAGTTGAACATCTGCCTTCAGCCCAGGGCGTGATCCTGGAGACCTGGGATCAATTCCCACATCGGGCTCCCTGCAGGGAGCCTGCTTCTCCCTCTGCCTGTGTCTCTGCCTCTCTTTCTGTGTGTCTCTCATGAATAAGTAAATAAAATCTTAAAAAAAAAAAAGAAAAAGAAACTCCAATCTTAGGAGCCAAGAAAAACATCATCACCCTCACACGTATTT